GCGTAGTAAGTTGCATTAGAGTGGGCCCACTGAATTAGTAGGGATTTGGTGAGTCAACTCCTCTAAGTTCCATTAATTCAAATGGGCCTACTTCAGTAGTGCCTTAATTTAGCATAGTAACTCAGAACTAGAGAGGCTTATTTGAATCAAATTAACTTGTAAAGAGTTGATGAGTAAACTCCTTCTCACTGATTCAGTGGGCTTACTTTAAATTACTATGCAAAGCAACAGGATTTTAGTCTAGGTGTACCTCTAAAAATTAATAGGGCAGAATCCTACTATTTTGTATACTTCAGTGAGTAGCCTACTGACCTTTGATTCTGCAGCATAGCTCCCAAGAAATTCCTCAGGACCATTTGTTGGTGGTAACGACTGTCCATAAGGATGCTGTCAGAGTGGCGCCTGGTCAAGAATTCATGTTCCTCATCCCCAAGACTGCCTTCTCTGAAAAGCAGCCAACATGTCCGCAGCAAATAGAATTAAACTAGAAGATCTTGGTGGTTTAAGGCTTTGCTTAGCTATAAACTTTATACATATTCTAAAGGTTTTCAGAAGAATCTTATATGGACAAAATGGAATTGCCTGTTATACATAATCTGAGCTACTTGTGGATAAGGGCTGTAATGATATGACCTCTTGGGGGGCACTAATTTATAGGGTCAACATAAGGTGGAATTAATTTGTTGGGACATGATGACAGCCTTCCCTGGATCGTTACATTGAGGCTGTTACCAAAGTAATAGTCATAATGAGAAATGAAGTTATACTTACCCAAGTCTTTTTCCAACAATACTCTGTAATAACTTCTGGGCTGACAACTTGCCCCGGACTTTCCGGTAACTATCCGTGAATATGGCATCTGCATGGCGTTGCATTCTAATGAAACAAACATAAGCCCAGAATCATCCTATGTCAGAGACTCCTGGTACAGGCATAACATATGAAAACTCATTGTCCCTTCACTTTGATGGAGGGAACAGTCCCATGTACATCCTATCCTAAACCTAAAGATCATGATTCCATGAAAGTTCATAGGGAAGCCTGCTACAGGTGGAGCACTTGTCTGTGCATCTTATTAACAGATTGGGTAGAGGAAGTACCTTTCTGAAATATTTGACCAAGAAACACAAGTGTTAAAAACATCTGAATCCAAGGACATTCAAACTGAGGAAACATGAGTCAGCATCAAAGAAACCCCATTTTCTAAAGAAGAAACTGTTGGTAAGAGGATATTAGAATGTTACCTTGTTACAAGCCTGTCTGGCATGGGTATGAAACCATAGCTACTCTCAAGTAGACAGTGATGATTGATTTCTAGAATGATTTCTACAGTATATTTTAATTTTTAAAAATGTATGCAAGCTTTCCTAGAACACCATGGCTGAAATCTGGTAGTAACTCACAAGTAGAGTGGTCCCATTGAATCCATGGAATTTATAGAGGCACTGACTCACCAAAATTCCCACTGATTCAATGGATCTACTCTAGCTGTGACTTACTAGTGGATTTCAGTCTGTTAAGTGCTTCCTTCTTGTACATGTGATCACCAGCAGCAGTTTTGGAGCCTCGTGGTCCTACCAAGAGACCTTGTTGTATGACAGGTTAGGTTGGCTTTTTCCACAGCAACGCCACAACCAGGGAACTCCTGAGAGAAGTCAAATGGGTTCCATCATCTGTAATGCGGGAGAGAGCCATTCAAAGCTGCATTGTTTTGCTAATGTTCTGTTGGACTTCAATATCACTCTAACTTGTTTTAAAATATTGTTACCACTTTTAAGCTTCTTTTCTGTAGCAATTTCTTTTTACTGTATTGTCAATTTCTCAGCAAGTTAGGTATGTTTGTAGAGCCAAAATTCAGGGGTTCCATTCCCTACTGTGCTTCCTGTGAGTAGAACCAGCCTGTGTGGCCTCGGGCCAGCTGCGCAGTCCCAGGGCACTCCCAGAAGAAGGGAATAATAAACCACTTCTGAGTACTCTCTACCTAGAACACCTGGGAGGGGGGGAGAGGCTGTCATAAGTCAGAATTAACTTGACAGCATATGACAATAAATGCCAATTTCAGTTATACTTTGCCTTCGAGTGCCCTTCTGCAGAGAAATACATTTTATAAAAAACTGTTCCTAATATAGTTAAGAAGAGAAGGCTTTAATTAGACAAATTCATGGGTGATAGATCTATCAGAGATTATTAGATGGACCTTCCGTGTTTGGAGTAAGGCTGGTCCAATACCTTTTTGTGTCTGAAGCAGAACAAATCATACCTTTCACCCACCCAAGCTAAGGTGTGTGTTTCCAAAAGCCAGCCAGGTTATATGGGCACAGGTGGCAGCAAGTCCCATTAGCCCCTCTGCCCATCCCTGGCAGTAAAAATAAAATGGTTTTTGAAAAGCAACAAGTTGCTGCCATTTTCTGGCACCCAGAATAATTACTTTCCTAAATAATAGAGTTGGCCCCTGTTTCAAAGGCAAGATTCTAGCAACTATCATTTCCTGGAAAGCAACATGCCAGAGCAGCTCCGACTTTCATCATATAATTATGGTATGATTCCCAACAACAACTGTCTGGCCATAGAGAGAAATGGCATAATGTATGAGCTTACCTGGCAGAGGTTGTGTATTCATAATTGCCCCTTTTGATTAATGGGTTTAGGGCACTAATATACTCACCTTTTCTCAGCAGGACTAGTGAGAAACTTCTCTTCCTGTTCTTCCACTGAAAGGTTGTGGCTCTGAACTGGGCCACTTTCTTGTAGCTGAAAACTCACTGCCTTCCCAGAAATAGGTACTGGACTATACCTAAAACAGCAAGTCAAAACGTCACTGGAAATATCCAGAACAATGCAATTCAAGTGTTTGATTCCTTCTTCTAATGGGTAGACAATCCAGAAGCCAATTTTACCTGCGAAAAGACTATTTGTTACACATCTTCCTTTCTGGGAACTCTTGCTTGATCGCTTACTTACCAGATCCAGGTCTCTTTCTTTGGGCATAGGGTTTTTTTCCCCCTAAAACTCACACAAGAGGTATCAGATCCTATGTGTGAGTGGAAATCCTTAGTTGAGTCTTTCTAGTGGAAAATTTGGGGGAGTGTGTATATAATTCCAGTTTAGATAAGTTAGATTTCATCCTCCCTCCCCATCCCTGTATGGCAGGGGTGAGCAATTAATTTTTATAGGGGGGCACATGAAAAATCTGAACTGTGTTCGGGGGCCGAACCAACTTTGCTTAAAAATAAAATGAAATAGTTATATTATGATTGTTTTTATTTTAAACTTGTTAATCTTCACAAATACTAAAGAGGTTTTTTGTGGTATGTTAAAGATAAGCAACTGATAAACTTTAGACAAAAAGCTATAAATGGTTTTGATGTTCAACTTCTTCCGTGAGAGAAATCCAGTCTGTCTTGGGCTTGAACAAGTGCTTGAACGCCAGGCTGGAGCGACGACCAGCGGGCCGGACAGGAGTGGCTTGTGGGCCATATGTGGCCCTTGGGCCACACTTTGCCCAGGTCTGCTGTATGGGATGTATTTAATTATATACAATAATCTTAGAACTGTAGAGCTAGAAGGAACCCTATGAATCAATGAGTTTGACCCCAGTCAGAGAGGCATAGTGGGGAATCAAACTCACAACCTCCAGCTCCTCAGACAGAGACCTAAATCACTGAGCTATCCAGAAATTGGGACACAGAGAAATAAAGTAAGACATGGGGTTCAAAGTGAGCTTAGATAAAACTTCCACTTGGCCAGTCTGCAAAAACAACCATGCAATGAATTTTCCAGATAGACAGTTACTCACACTAGCAATTAGAAAGTATTGTGCAGCTGTTGTTATGTGCCATCAAACACTTTCAACTTACAGTAACTCCAGGAATGAGTGACCTCCAGAAGATCCCACCCTGCTTAGGTCTGGCAAACTCCCCGGGTATTAAGATCTTCAGGAGAGGCTTTTCTCTCATTCTCACCACCTTTACAAACATGTTTGGTAGGAACATGAGAGAGGGCCTTCTCTGTTGCTGCTCCTACACTTTGGAACTCCCTCCCACAGGCTGGCCCCATCTTTGCTGTCCTTCCACAAGCAGGTGCTATACCTTTCTCTTCAGGCAAGCTTTCCTTCAGTGACTGGCTGCGTGAGTGGGGGTTTTTAAATGGATTGCTATACCTTACTGTTTTGAAGGCGTTTTTGTGTTGTTTATGTTTTTTAGTATGGTATTTGTTTGATCTTTTTTAGCATATTTATACTCACTGTGGTTAGCTTTAACATTGTCTTTTAATAATGTAAATGAATAAAATATTCGGTTTTTTAAAAAATGATCTGTGGGTTGCTACTGGGGATAGCAAACAATATTGGGGCTAAAAGGACAATTAGGTTGATCTGGTATAAGGTACTGCTCTGTACCCCCCCCCCAATTTTTTTTCAAGTAGATGTAGATGCCTAGCCCTTGTCCTGGCAAAATCATTTAATTATTCCAAAAAAGTGTGCGAGAAAACATTGTTTTTCCTTAAAATGCAGTGATGACCACCAACCCTGATGATGTGGAATCAACAACAACAGCAAAAGAGGATGCTTTTAAAATTATAATAGTATCAGAACACTATGCTGTTTTCCATTTTTTCCCTTTGATATGACTTGGTCACTAAACTTGAAAGCTAATTAGCATCAAAGCTAAAAGGCATCATTTTAGTTTTCCTGGGAAAGGACTAGAAATAGTTTTGGAGTGTGGAGAGTCTTTTGTCTCATGGTATGAAGGAAGCAACAGTTAGAACTGGATATGGAACAACTGATTGGTTCAAAATTGGGAAAGGAGTACAGCAAGGCTGTATATTGTCTCCCTGCTTATTTAACTTATATGCAAAATACATCATGCGAAAGGCTGGACTGGACAAATCCCAAGCCGGAATTAAGATTGC